GTTCCAATGCTTGATAGCTTTTTTGGAGAAGAAATGTCCCATAAAACCCAACTAAACCTCCCCTGGTGCAACTTGAGGCTATTTCCTCTCATTCTGTCACTTGTTACTAAGGAGAAGAAACAGACCTCCACCTTCTTACAACCTCCTTTCAGGTAGTCACAAAGAGCGATAAGGTTACTCTTGAACCTCCTTTTCTCAAGGCAAAGCAACCCCAGTTCCTTCAGCTGCTTCATATAAGATTTGTGCTCAAGACCCTTCACCAGCTCTGATGCCTTTCACAGACTCTCAGAATCAAGGTTGGAAATTATCTCCAAAATCATGACGTGTTGCCATTATAGTGCAACAATTCTATTGTCATTGCAAGGGTTCCATATCGCTAGAGTTTCATACCTCCTTGATGTTTCTTGTAGGCAACTCCTCTAGACACTGCCTCTTCCTTCTTCTCACATCAGCCAACCGACTCCAGTTCCTCTCTGCCAACCAATCCACTCTTTTATAACACTCTGCTGATTGGCTACAGCTGTGGCCTGTTAAAATCAGGCTGGCTCCTAAGCTTTAATAATTAACCAGCTGCAACTCTGTAGGGGGTGAGGTTACTTTCTATACTACCTTTATTTACTTATATTCTATCCCCCTACAATGAAGTCCAACTTTTGACCAATCACCACTTTGTCAACTAAACCATAGCACTAACTACCATGTCCAGTCATTTTTTTGGACACTTCCAGGGACAGTGACTCTGCCATCTCAACAATCCATTCCAGTGCTTGACAACCCTTTCCATGAAGAAATTCTTCCTAATAGCCAACCTGAACCTCCTCTTGCACAGCTTGAAATATGTCCCCTTGTCCTGCTACTTGTTGCCTGGCACTTCACTACAGCTTCCTTGCAGGCAGTTGTAGAGAGTGATAAAGTCTCCTCTGAGTCTCCTTTTCTCCAGTCTAAGCAATCCCAGTTCCCTCAGCTGCTTCTTATAAGACTTGCGCTCCAGACCCTTCACCAGCTCTGTTGCCCGTCTCTGGTCATGCTCCAGCACTTTAATGTCCTTCTTGTTTTGAGGGGCCCAGAACTGGAGGTAGGATTCCAGGTGTGGCCTCACCAGTGCTGGGTACAGAGGGACAATCTCTTCCCTGGTGCTGCTGGCCACACAATTTCTGACACAAGCCAGAATGCCATTGGCCTTCTTGGCCACCTGAGCACAGCTGGATCATGCTCAGTTGGATGCCAACCAGCACTCCCAGGTCCTTTTCCTCTGGGCAGTTTTCCAGCCATTCTTCCCCCAGCCTGTAGTGCTGTCTGGGGTTGTTGTGACCCAAAGGCAGGCCATGCCACTTGGCCTTCTTGAACCTCGTCCCACTGGCCTTGGCCCATGGATCCGGCCTGTCCAGATCCCTCCACAGAGCCTTCCTGCCCTCCAACAGATCAACATTCCTGCCCAGCTTGGTATTACCTGCAAAGTGACTGAGGCAACACTCAATTCCCTTGTTCATATCACTGATAAAGATATTAAACAGGTCTGGACCCAATACTGAGCCCTGGGGGACACCACTTGTGTCTGCTGCCCACTGGATGTAACCCCACTGACCCCTGCTCCCTAGGCCCAGCCATCCAGCCAGCTTTTCACCACCAAGCTGGGTAAAACCCTGGCCAAGCCATGAGCAGCCAGACTCTTCAGGAGAATGCTGTGGGAAACAGTGTAAAAGGCTTTGCTGAAGCCCGGATAAAAAACATCCAAAGTCTTTTCCTCATCCACTGAGTGGGGCATCTTGCCATAGAAGGAGATCAGGTTAGTCAAGCAAGACCTGCCTTTTGTAAGCCTGAGCCTGATCCCCTGATTGTCCTGCATGTGCTGTGTGATGGCCCTCAAGGTGATCTGATCCATTCAGACAGTTTCTCCAGGGAATGCTTTCTGGGATGCCTACCTATCTACAAACAGAAATAAATTTCTGGGGAAAAATGTAACTAAAAATCTCTTTAGAATTCTTTGATTTAGTTTTATATTGTGAGTAAAATAATCAATCTTGATGGAAGCAATACAAGAAAAAGTAGTGACATAGTGACTATAGCTGCAAACACCCTGTAGTTACCGTGTCTGCACAGCTGTGTTTTGGCTCAGATCACAGTGTCCTGCAGGTCCTAAGCGCAGGACTTAAATATATGTTACTGGGGCATGGGAAGCAATAAAAGATATATGAGTTATAGGATGGCTTTTAAAAAACTAGCCTATGTGCAAGGAGGTTGGACTGTGAATTGTCTTATGATTGTTACTCTAAGGACTAAACAAATATAAAAATTGCAAATTCTTATCTGATCTACTTTTTTTTTTTTTAAGGCATAAGTGTCAAGTTAAGTGGCAAATGAAAACAATAATATTCTCTGGGAAATACACTCCCAAGGAGTGTAAACAAAATCAAATAAAAGTGCTGTCTTAAATACAGGATTTGCATTTTCTTAGCAGAATAAACTCTCTGCCTTGACTCTCTGTGCACTCACTGAAGTGGAGGTCATGGCTAGTGACAACTGGGAGCTGTTCCTGGAGGCTTTCTTGCCTTTTTAGGTTATGAGGGTCTCTGTGTATTTAGGATAATATGATTGACGGCTCCACTCCGGCCCCAATTAGCACCCTATAATTTATTAGCTTCTGCTTTCAGATTATGCGCTAACTTCACAAATATTTCAACCACGGAAACAGCAGCTATCAAGTGTCGCTTTCCTGATCCAGCTCACTTGGACTGCAGTTAAATACAAGGAGGGAGCTGTGTAGGTCTGTCAAGAAAAAATAATCATTTGTGTCTCTGTGCAACTGGGGCTGTCACAGTTCTTTAGAACCCAGCTTCTGGAAAAAAGGAGTTTTTCCACTGGGTCACAATCAGGGGTTAGGGTTGGTTCCTGCCACAGAGGTTCACTGCAGGATTGAGACCAATTGCACTTGCTTTTCCTGAAAAGGCCCATGTTTGTCCAACTCTGTTCATCATGTAAATACTGACTCCATGCAAACAACTTTGGCAGGAAAGTTTGTGTCCCTCCTCACACTGTTTCTTTGCTCCTTGCTGCTGTGGTGCGGGGCCAGAGTACTAAGTGCTGGAGGGAAGAGCCTGGGTGAGGCAGGAGAACAGAGAGGAAATGAGATTCAGGGCTCAGGCTGAGGATAGAAGTCAAGGATAGAAGAAGTCAAGAAGTTGAGGTGGGTATGATGAGGGAGGAGGAGCGCCTTGCAGCTGTACCCAGGCCAGGTAGGGTAGAAGGAAATGTGCCATGCCACAGGGAGATGGAGTACCCTCAGTAATATCCAATGTGCTATTATATCTCCTAATGGGACAGCACTCCTGCCAGGCGTTTATTACCCTGCCTTTACCATGGATGAATAAGCAACTGGCACATACCTAATGAAATGCTCCTGTCTTTGGTCAGCCTGTGCTTTTGTGGGCTGCAGCCGACAAATGAAGTGCCCATGCATGAGACTGGGGGCCAGGAGAATGCACAGCTGCACCCTGCAGCCCAGTGCTCCTGCACCTCTGCACCCCTGCACAGCTGCATGCCTACACTCCTGTACCCTGCACCCCTGCACCCTGCATCCCTGCACTCTTACACTCCTACAGTCTTGCACCCTGCACACCTGCACATCTGCATTTGAGTTCTCTGCATCCCTGCACTCCTACACTCTCGCACTCCTGAGCAGGCTCTTCCAGCACCTTCCCTATCTCTTGGGGGACCTGATGCAGAGAGGGCAGGGGCAGGAGGATGGGACAAAGCGCCCCAGGGCCTCTCTGCTGCAATTTGCACTTACAGCTTTGATGCACATTATTCCTGGGTTATACCTGGCTAAGGAGGCAGTAGAAAGTGCACTGCTAAAGTAACTCCTCCTTTAAGACTAGAAATGGACATGAAGAACCCAGGCTGAGTAGCTTGTCACTATATTCAGATTAGATAATAGTGTTACTATGCTGGCAACTAAATTAACAGCATGGTTCCCTAAGCTATAGTCCCAAAGCTTCGGAAATGACTGAAGGAAAACTTTTTTTCTCTTTTTTTTTCCTTTTTCTTTTTCTTTTTCTTTTTCTTTTTCTTTTTCTTTTTCTTTTTCTTTTTCTTTTTCTTTTTCTTCTTCTTCTTCTTCTTCTTCTTCTTCTTCTTTTTCTTCTGTTTTCTTTTTCGGCTATTCCTTTTTTTTAAAATGATCTTGCTACTTGCATTTCCCTATGCAAAATTGCCTAGCATACAAAATCAGTGTCTCACTCCTGAAAATAACCATAGGACTCTCTCCTTTCCCTGCTGCAACTGCTCCTCTGGGTGGCAGGCCCGGGAAGACAGCCAAGACACTACAATCCTCCACAGGAGCTGGTTCATCCTTCTGTAATCAAAAGGGCACGTTAATTACAACACTTGCCCAGAAAAAGATGCACAGCAACTGTCATTTAGAGAACGCTGTTGCATCCAAAGCCACCAGCAGCATTTTCCTCCCTTCCAAGAAGGGCCCAACATTTAAGCCCTAGCTAGAGCTTGTCTTGTGAGCCTAAATATGACTTCAAAGGGAAGGCGAGAAGGGTCGGCAGCTCCTGACCCAAGGAGGAGACAGAGCAGATACATTTCCCCAGCGGCAGCAGCACACAGTCTAGGAGACGCAAAAGGGATTATTCAGCCTCTCTTTCACCCTCTGTCCCCTCCCTTCCTCCTCCTCTGCTGGGGGCTCCTATGGAAGACACACTGGGAAAGTAGGTAAGAAATAAGCAACACTACCCTAAAGCTCTCCAACATTAGACTCTAAGTGTAGAGGCACACATACACATTCAAGAGTTTCATGCTTTACTCTTGTGACTGCAGCAGTACTGAAGCAAAGACCTCATTAAAATGAAGTGGAGACTGCTCCCACAAATGCCACGCTCTATCCCCACCTCCATCCTTCCCTTGACAGATCACTTTTAACCTCAGAGATAATCAAAACAGTATACTCCTTCATGCTTTGCTGATTTTCAGCTATTTTCATAAAGGGAATTAAATACCTGTAGTGAATACATCCAGAGCTCATTTTGGAAACTCCCTGTGGAGGTTACTGGGCAGCAGCAGGTACCCTTGCTGTGTCCATGCTCTGCAGCAGATTCTTTCCCTCTGCCTTCTTCACTGGACTCTGCACGAATGAGTCTGAAGCTGTTTGTGTCTGTTTGTCCATCCCAGCTGGGCTACTCTGTTTGTCAGGTGGGCAGCTAGAGAGCACAGTGGGGTGCATGACATTCAGAAGGGGACAGCAGGAGGATCTGCTGTCCAGGCTGCAGAGTTGGGGACTCACATCCCCTTCAGTGTGTGACAAGCATGTGACAGGTAATATTTACGTAACATCTAAGAAGGGTTTCTTTTGTAATTCCAGATTTTCTACAAGCATTCATGACTAAGGGAGTAGTGACCTATGATGCAAAGAGGAATGAAACAGGCTTGAGAAATGGCATGGAGGTCATGTGCACTCTTACTGCATTAGGAGCTGTGGCCCCAGTCCTGCAAAGACTAATGGCCAAACCTTAAAGGTTGGTGCTCCTTCAGGAGTCTGAATAACACAGAGCGAGCAAAACTGCAAGGATTAGCCAAAACAGGGCATGTGTGCTTTCAGGCTGCAGTCCACCCAGAGTAGGACTGTTTTTAAAAAGTTGTTTGTACTTTTAGCACCATGAGCCACTGTCTTGGCTTTTGTGTTTAGGTGTTTTCATGATAAAGCAGTAAAAAATGTACTCACAGAACAAATGGCAAAACCAATATTCATGGATTCATTGGATAAATTCTCATGCTTGAATATATTCACAGTCAAAATGGATTGCAAATGGCAATGTAGCAAATGACTCATTTATGCTTACATGAATATTTCCAAATGTATTTGGGCTGCGTCACTTAGCCCTCCTTGTCAAGATTTGCAGAGGAGAGGGGAGAAAAAAGGAAAGAAAAAAGAAATAATTGTGGTGAAGCACGACCAATCACAGACTCAGATTTACCTTTAAAAATAAAACAAACTTAAAAAACAGCCTGAGAAAGCCCTCAGGAAAATGCTCACAAAATGATCCTGCTAACTTAAAATTTCTGCAGTCAAACCAGTGCTTTTAATTACTTTTCTGCTTCAAAAAGCAGGTGCCTTCTTCCTTGATAAACACCTTGGAATGCTTTTGGTTTAATAAATAGTGTAAATTCTGGAGTCATTCCCTTGCCCTTCGCAGCTTGTCTGGGCTCTGGATATTTGGAGGCTGAGGGAAAAATACCCATTGGTTTGTCTGGCTGAGGGAACCACGGCAAGCTCCCCCTGCCATTTGTTAAGCTCTGGCTGGATCTGCTCCTGGTCAGCTTCTCACAGTATGTACTCACACTGCTTTGTCAAACTCTTTCTGCTAGGATTCCTATTCTTTCCCAGAAATTGAGTTATCACCAAACCTAGGAGAAGCAAGTTCAGGTTATTCATAACTCCACTCCTGACACAGGGTGAACATTATGCCAAATTTTGTGAGAGTTTGAAAGGTAAAAGCTCTGATCTCAGAACAAATGTTCGTTTTCTACTGCTTCTCCCAGTGTCAGGGGGTAATATTAGGAATTTCCTACTATATGCTTTAAAATTTGTCAGCTTCAAAGACAATACATTAAGGAAAAAAGAAACAAAACAGAAAAAAACACAAAACACAGGAGTGTTGGGAACAGATATTTGTCTATAAAAAAAGTCAGCTTTTAGGTACATGGTAAGTGCCATTTCTGCCCTGTTTCATTAATTATTCATCACCTGGTAGTAACACTTTAATTTACCACCTCAACAGCAGTTCTATATGCCACAGTCCCCTCTGTTAGCCGAAGTAATATGGACCAGCTCCCTTACTTTAACCAATCTGACAGCCACACCATACTCTAAAATGTAGCACTGCAATGGTCTCATATTTTCTTATATTTTGTATTTATCTCTGTGTATTTTACTCACCAAGAAAATATTTTCAGCTGTTAGGATTTCTATTTATCTTTCATGCAAAATAATAAAATAACTCACTTCATCCACATGAGAGATATGGTTTCTGATTCACCCTGAAGTTTTCAGTTTGCCTCATTTCTCTTATTTAGCTTTAATTCTTCATTAAAGTACACATGATGAATGAAGGAGATACCTTTAATACAGCTTTGCTACTGTTAAATACCTATTTGCCCCTTTCAAAAAACCCCAAACAAAACAACTAGTAAAGTGGCAAAATGACAGCAACAAGTAGACAAAGGCAAGTGTTAGAGGCAACTCAGCACTTATGTCCACCAAGTGCTTTTTGTGCTGGTGTTCCCTTTAAAGGCTCTTGGGTTGGAGGTAAGCCATTCTTCATTGGATTCCTCTCTCCTCCTGCTTTAAGAGGGTAAAACTTACTTTCACCAGAAAATGTTTATTGTAAAAACAAAAAAAAAAAAAAAAAACAACAAAACAAAAATAAAAAACAAAAAGAAAACACAAAAAAAACCCAACCAAAACCAAACAAGCAACCCCACCCCCAACCAAACAACTGTTATACAGCCAATGCAGTGTGCCAAAGTCTGAGAAGTGCCACCTTGGTTTTCGTCTTTCTGGGATTTAAGCAGTTGTGAGGGGAACAGCTGCATATCTGTAAGTGCAGGGCAGGTGGCCCCAGTCAGACACTTGCCACTCACAACCACAAAGCTGAAAAATCTGACCAGTTCCTTGACAGTCCGAAAAAGTTCATGAGTTCCAGTTTCTTCTCCTTTTACTTTTCTATAATGCAAAATAAAAATCCAGTTCAAAACAGCTGAGTATCTTTCCCATGGTTGCATTCAAGAAATAACTTTCACTGCCATAAAAAAATATTCACACCACTAAAAAACCCCCAGAATTTCCTCTGTTGCCTGTGTGAAGGCCAGTGGTTTTGCATCACCATCCACGATGTCATTTGACTCTTTCAGAGTAGTCTGGCTGCAGGTCTGGGTGTGGGGTCTGCTTAAATAGAAGTTCAATGTCTTTGGCTCTCTTCTTGCAACAGAATGACTTTCCTCTCCGAAATAAGTCTAAAGTATCACCCTTGCAATGCCAGGTCCTTTTAAATCCTGTTGTCTTTCCCCAAGCAGCAGGGTCACGGTGGGCTTGGAAAAGGGCAAGGGGGGATCTGAGAGTCTTTGAGTCAGCACATCAGCTCAGAAGGGATCCACCACAGAAGGAGTAACGGCGAGCTGCAAACCAAGACCAGAAGCTGTTACAAACTGACCCGATTTCAGCTCTGAATGCCACCATGTCTAACGGGTAGAGAGCTACAGGGGAGAGCCAGGGGAAGAAGAGTGAAGGACAGCTCTAAAACCAGTACAGATCCTTGCTTTTATCCTGAGATTGCAAACCTGAGAATGGAGAGAAGAAGAAAAAAAAAAGGAAGAAGAACAATAGGTACAGGCATTTAAGAACAGAGGAAAACAAATTGCATTTCTTTCCAGGTGAGATCAGTCTAAAGTCCAGAGCCCCAGAAGGCTGTGAAACAAGGAGAAGAGCCCAAGCTCAAACAAGAGGAGGAGCCCAAGCTCTCTCCAAGACTGGAGAAAGTCTCTCCTCTTTAAGGTGAAGACACCATAAGGAGCCATTAGTGGCTGCAATAACGAAACCAGCATGGAGCAGACTTTCCTTCCCTTCACAACCACTGACTCGGGATCTGTCACTGCCGACTGTGCTTGCGCACCCATTTTTGTCAGCACTACAACCACACCTTGGTTCCAGGCACTGCAACAGGCACCACCAGGGCAAGACCATTGCCTTTTGTCTCACCAAATGCAATTGTGCTTTCATCTCAAAAACTGGAAGGAGAAGATAATTAAGGAGAGGAGCTAGTTCATGAACCTGCATGGTGTCTAGAAATGACCCCTCAGGGCAGCACATGGATGGGGCCAAGGAGTGACCTTTGGGGCGGCTCCATTCTACTCCTAGCTCTCACTGCTGAATGCAGGAACAAGACCAGGGCAAGGACAAAGGTACCTCAAAGCAACCTGTAGCCTCAGGGAATGTTTGAGGGCATCAGAAATTCAAACAATGTTGTGGAGATGCGATGTGTTGGCCTGTCTCATCCTTCCTCTCCGTTCTTCACTTGCCTGGCCTGAGAGCCCCAAGAAGAGCACTCAGGGCAGAGCTCAGGAGTCACACATGAACTTCATTCCCCTACAGCAGAACCTCAGCCACCCCCTCGAGTCCTTCCCTACTGCTAAGGATGGTGTGGAATAGGGAGCAGGGTTGCAGCTGAGCCAGGGGAGCTGGAGGGGCCAAGGGCAGCTCATTACCTGTGTCCACATTGAGGCCGATGCTCTGTGCCATGTCTCCTGTTGCATTGGGGAAGGGGCCCGGCGTCGTCCAGGCCGCAGCAGCGCCCGCTTCACTCTTGCCCAGTTCGCAGGGGGGGCTGACGGGTGCGGGCACAGAGGCGGGCGTGAGGCGGTGGGGCCTGACAGAGGCCGTGGGCACCAGGAGCGAGCCGTAGCGGGGGTCGAAGTGGGGCCCGTAGACCTCGTGCATGGCGGCGGGGCGGGGGTAGGCGCTGCTCTGTGTGCCGATGTAGGGGTGGTGGTGGTGGTGGTGGTGGTGGTGATGGTGGGCATGGTGCCAGGGCTCGGGGCCGCCCTGGTGCAGGTGGCCGTGCAGGGAGGCGGGCGCGTAGGGGTCGGTGGCGGCGGCGAAGGGCAGCTCGCTGTGGGCCGCAGCTGCCAGGGGGCTGCTCAGGCTGGCCGGCACTGAGGAGGGCTGGTACGTGCTGTTCCAGAAGGACGGCGGGAAGATGCGCTGGCTCATTGGGAAGGATCCATCTGAGTGAAAGAAGTGGGAAAGAAGGTCAGCAATGAGCACACCCCAGAAGACTTGATCTCCTTTCCCCAGGATTTTGTCCCTTCCTGATCCATCCAAACCAGTCCTTTCATTCCCTTTATTCCATGAAAAACTGGCAAGGATAAGAACTTGCTCCAAATAAATATGAATTCCTCTCCGATTAAACACAACACACCTGTCCTATGGCTTATCCATGAAGCTGCAAGTATGTCCTCCAGCTTTTTCTTACTACGTAGATGGGCAAAATGTTGTTACCTAAGGCAAGAGAAATATCTCTTTCCTTCAGTAGTGGAAACTGAGGGCTACTATACACCAACCACTTAAATTTTCAGGTTTGGGTTTTTCTTGTTTGTTTTTGTGATAATCTCCTTGTCTAAACATTTATGCCCAATGTTTCCTGGAAAGAAGCTGCTGCCTCAGTGCAGTAGCAAAGTGGGCAGGAACTGTGAGAGATGTGACTAAAGGCAAGTTTGAATTACTCAAATATCTGGGGCAATTCTCCATCTATTACAGCCATATGTTTCTTAGGTATATTGTCAGCCTGTTTGGGAAGCCCTCAGCAGAACTTTGGAGATTGGCAGGGCAAAGACAAAGACCCTAAATTTTCTTAGCCCAGTTAGCAACATGCAAGATGGACTGGTGATTATTAATATCACAGATAGATGTTATGTATCATTAATTGGGAATGCACACTGTTCTCAAAAGAAATAGAACTATGTTCCTAATACTTCCTTGCCAGGGAAGTATGTCAGCTCTGAGCCTTGGCATTGCTTAGGAGAAGGGGAAGCAGTTCATGATGAGCAAAAAAACCTCCTCCACTGCCATCAATTCCAGCACTGAGTATCTCTCACCCGTGAAATATTCTTGGACACTACAGACAGCAATCCGTGCAAGGTCTGGGAAACCAGCCCTGGCTGAGCAGGTGGCCCTGTGAGGGAGGGTTGCTAAGACTGCCCACAAGGAAGTGCCAGCCTTAACTCTCTGGCAGACCGAGTGTGGAGAAGATTATTCCCCTCTGCCCTGACTACTCTCGTGGGCCTGTCCAGTGTGAATCAGGCGTGGATACAGAGAGCTGTGCATAAGCCATGGCCTTGGCCTTGAGAGCACATGGCCATGGCCAGGTCTGCAAGCCCTTGTTTTCCGAAAGTTAGGAGTCCTTGTCAGCACTCCAGCAACAATCAGGGTGGTGATACACACAGGGCAAGATACATGGACACACACAATCATTTTCTTTTAGAGGTGGAAAGCAGATCAGATTGTTCCCACTTTTGCTTTTTACTTTGCTCCCATCACTATGACTACTCTAAACTGAAAGCTAGGATCAAGAGGGAATACACTGGTCACAGTCACAGTTTGGGAGTCACTCCGTGGCCAGTTGTGCTGTAGCCCTCTCCAGGTAAAGCACCTGCAGTGAAAAGACAACTTGCTTCCCCCAACCGCCTCTCAGGCAGCTTTCCCACTGGGCCATGCCCCTCTGCATAATCTGAAGGAATTTTTTCTTTCCTTTTTACCCTAAAAGAGCCAAACAGCTGGCAGCTCCTAGCCTCGGATCCCAGGGGATGCCCGCCGGACCAGCCGCTGGTGGGAAGGAGGAGGGAGCTGGATGCAGAACCGAGGCGGGGACGAGGTGCCGGCCCAGAGGGGGCCAGCATCCCCCGCATCCCCCGAATCCCCCGCATCCCC